AGAACAGCAGCAAAATGCTTGAAAAGTTGTAAGAAGGTTTAAGCGACCCATTTATACAAGATAACGGGAGTTGTGACAACTTCAAGCACACAGTACGACCTGATTCAAACCCTTGTACCATACCAGCCACATCAAAAAGCGTCCTACCTGAACCAATTTATTTTCTACAAAACTGGAGGAACAACAAACATCTAGCCAGTCTCACAGCTGTTGGGAAAACTGAAGGAGATAAGTAAATACGCACTTTGTGAACTGCCAAGCACGGCACAGCTACAGTCTTAAATTACTGTACAGTAATGCTCACAGGCAAGAGTCGAGGGAGCTCCAAATGTGTTTTACCAAACCAAAACTGTTTGTCCCCTGGGTTCTGAAGTCCTTTAAACCAGATTTTATTTTTTCAGCATTGTACTGAAACAGAAATCTGGTATGTTAATCATAAAACACCCACATTATTATGAGAAAGTGGCTGGTTGACTTTCTTCCAAAGTCAATTTTGACCTGGAACAAATAACTCTAAGAAATAATCTTGAAATTAGACATTGAGGGACAAGAGCATGCAAAAAGCATTTAATTTCAAGCCAAGCTTAGTTTACATGTTAATTAAATATTTGCATGACAAGGCAAGAATGTACAAAAGGGGCAAGGCTGAAAATAAAACCCTAAGAGCTCCAATATCGGCCCCATTCTAAACAGGACCTTCTATCATGTTCACCACCAAAGTAGCCTTTAATTCTAAAATTGCAATATAATGTAGCTCCTATGGTTATTTAAAACTGAATGCAAATATGAGTATAAACATTATCCTAAATTATGACTGGTGAAAGATTTTTGCCCTCCACAACACTTCATAACCTTGGATGTGAACAGGAGGGAAAATGCTAACTAGGAGCTCATGCACCCAGTAAGTAGTCAGTGCTCTCTTGATGAGCCAAGTATTAATTTCTCCTTTTGACTTGAGACAAGAGTGATGGTCACTTGTAACTCCTAAAGAGTTCATTCAGGAAGCAGATTCCCTTCCAAAGTCAGGCTGGACTGGGAGCTGACAGGCCAAGGTGATCAGCTCTATGTCAGTGTATTTGTGTGAAAGTATTACAAGAAGGACACAGAGCACAAATCTGGGTTATAAAAGCCCTTTTATAAAGCCATTTTTAAACAAAACAAAGTTTACAAAAGAAAAAAGATACAGAAAAAGAATAACTTGCTTCATGTCCCAAAAAGAAAAAAAATAAAGGGGACAATGCCAACATGCTCAACAATAAAGGGTTCTTTTCTTATTTTTAATACAAAATACAAGCAAAGGATACACATACTTAAACCAGAGCTCAGGAGCAGACGCGCAGTCCTGGAAACCCTTCCATAAAAGAAAGCAGGAGTTTGTTTTTTCTTTGTCTATGCAGGTACATACAGAGACTGGGATATGTAAAATTAAGTATCACAAAAGACCATCACACAAGTCTACCAATGCATGTTGCATCTATAATTCACGAACAAAATCATGTTCACTTCAACCTCATTTCATTTAAATTAAAAAAAAAACCTTTTAAATAAAGTGGTTACATTCAAACTTTAACTTCCTTAGTACCACGCTGCAGACAGATTCAGCACTGTTAAGGTATTGCAAGAATGCCCAACCCTCTGGTGTCTGATAACACATCTAGCAACATTGCAGTATTAAGAAAGGGTTGCCCCGGTCTCAGCCCATGGACTTACAATTAAATACATTTACGCAGGTTCCTCTTTGCCCTTCCTGCTCAGAACGTAAAAGATTAAGGACTAAAATGAAGGAAGACTGGGAATTTTAGAGCTGGCAAAACGAAGTCTGAAAGATGAATCAAGGCAAACAATTACTGAGAACTTGGCTGCTGCTTAACCTGACAAGTCTTAAAGTCTTTCCTTAAATCTTGCAGGAATTAGGTATTTAAGGTTTGCTGCAACATGGTCATGGTAAACAAACTAAGTAGAGCTCTTATTTACAAATCTTGTAACAAATACTTCTGGAGGAAAAAAGAATTCACTAATTTCCAGAAGACAAAGGTTTAATTGCCAGACATATACACACACTCACACACACACCCACACGATACTCCAGGGGTTTTTATACATGTTATTTAGGGCATAAGCTAAGTACTATACCCATTCCCCATCCAAAAAAAAACCCAAAAAAACAAACCAACCCAATTTTACCCTCCCCCCATAAATCTAGAAAACCCTCCCTTCACCCCTGATGTACAAAGTGTATGCACAATGGTGGCATTCCACCAGCCACACAAAGCATGCTCCCACAGATGTCACCAGGTCAGTCACTCCATTGGCATGGCAACAGGCAGGTTTAAGGGACTTTTCCCAATAGTGGTTAATATACAGTCAGCACCACTGGATTTTGTGAATTAGGCTTTGAAAAAAAGTGTAACTGAGGGACTGGGGATTCAAGAGTTATTTTGTATCAAGTTTATTCCAAGACAAAGGGAAAATGGGTTGCAAATTGAAATTTGGCTATAGATAGCTTGATGTCCCAATATTCAAATAAACTAACTCCTTTCCAAATAAACCCAGCTCCAAGCACAGAGAACAGGACAATTTTCTAACCTCAAGAGCAACCAGACTTTTAGATTTTCCCTACCCCTTGGCAGGAAATGCGCATTACTCGGTCTGTTGCAGTATCTGAGTGCCAGAGCCCACAGGCTTCTTCCTTCCCAACTCCTGAGGTGGTCATTTCTGCTTCCAGTGCAGCTATAGGTGAGGCAGGCACAGAAAGAACCACGCAAACTCCCTTTTTTACCACAGTGACAATGGCCACATGATTTTTTATAAAGCTTTCCCTGTTGCTCCAGCTATGAACTGCTGCTCTTGCCTTTCTAACACTCTCAAACATCTTCTAAACTGGTTTCTTTAAAGAAAAGCACTCTTCCCTTTCCCCACCCAGTACTCTAAAATTCACTTGTTACCTGAATGGTCATGGATAAAAAAGAAATGCTTGGATAAAAAAAAAAAAGGTGTTCAGTTCAGTTTAGCTGACCATATATATATCCACAAGAGTGTAAAAAACTTTACTGGATTATAACCTCCAATTCCTCTTGATTAGTTACCTATAAGATGCTACTTGAACTAGTACCAGAATGAGTATTGAATTGAGGATTCAAGCTGGGGCAAACCGTTTCTGTGGAAAAAAAGCAGTATCAATCCTCCTTCATGGGAAATCAACTACTATTCTTTGAGATAAAAAGATTTCCACTCATTACCTCCCTAAAGGACACACCCATTAACTTTCCTTTATGGACTCAATGGGAAATGGAGACATGAAAGGGAGGTTTTTAGAAAGCAGGATGGATCTACCATTACTAAAATTAAAATGTCTCCTTCAGGTCTACTCCATTGATTCCAATCAGGTGGGGAGGGCTAAAAGCAGCAGCAAGTCACAAATAGTTTAATGTGTAAACTACCCATGTCAAGTTGTATGTGTGTTGGGAAGTCTAGAAAAAAAACTTAAGAACTAGAATGTAGTGTCAGTCAGCATAGCTGCCGAAATCCATGTTTCAGAGGTAAACCTAACAGAACAGAGAATTCAGTTAACACTAACAAGCACCTTCAAGGTTAATGTCCCACTTCCTGAGCACAGCAGAACAAGACCGTGAATGCTATTGCCATCTCACCACAGGCACGCCAGAGGAAGAGGGCATTTAGTCAAGGGTGGTGCCAATGGCCAGTCACCATCAGCTTATAGCTTGTAACCCATCGTGACATCACCATCAAGCCTGACTATTGAGCACCGGTTTCCAGTTGAGACACCACAGCTACCCTCCCATTTGCATGCATGATTTGAGGGGAAGACTAGAGTGTTTTAAATCAATAAAAAGTAGAGAAAACAAAGGTCATTCAGAGCCTGTCTCTCACCTGGGGACACAGATCCTTTTGTCCAGTCTATTAGAAATATATAATACATCTTTCAATCTCATGAATTAATTTTTAAAAAAGGGATCACAAACAAAAGCCCAACCAAATGCACACAAGGAACTTAGAAGACAGGATTACCTCTAAAGTATGTGCCTATATCACAGAGATGTTAGTGCAGATTAATATATTAGACTGTGTTACATAAAATACTGAGGCTAAAGTTTTAAAAGATCCCCCCACCCCCAATTTTCACAAAACATAATCTAAGAAAAGCCCAATGTTACTAGGAATGTAAGACAAAGTTATAAACCCCTAAAAATAGAAGTGCATGGTGGAAACACTGATAGGTCTCTTGCTAGAAGAACACAAACCTTGTTAAAATTGGATACCTGAACAAACCCACTAAAGCAAACAGAATAATCTTTAGGTAACAATCCAACTGCTACTTATGTTCAAGCTTTGCATTTTTGACAAAGTACTAAAATCTTCAAATTCATTCTTTAACACATAGTGCAACAGTGAAACAACTCTGTCACCGGGTGTGTTTGTTTTGAAATCACAAAGTAAGAATATTTCTTAAAGTGTCTTAATAATCAGAGTAAAAATATTCCTTAAATAACCTTTTGTTTTAGGAACATCTGCAAGAAAGCCATGTTGTCTGAGAGAAAAATATGCTGTAATTAAAAGAAAGAAAACTGCATAAGTAAAATATTGAGGAAGCAAATCTAGATAAAAAGGCAGAGGTTAAATTTCACTAATTTTTCAACTTCTTAGCACACTAAGGCCCCTAACCCTTGCTCCCAGAAGCTCATGGTATCAGGATGTGGAGAATCCAACGTACAGATCTAGCTCCTGACTGCTTTCATAAGGCATGTAAAGTCTGCTATCAACTGCACGTAGGTCTCCTAAATGCATGCTTTCTAGCCCTGCTGAACCCCTTAAACTCCTATTTTAAGCAACATGAGCAGTAAGCAGGCGCACCAGTAAAAAGAAAAAAGCAAACTGAATGTGTGGGAGTAGCATTTAACACACTCCCATCAAACACAAGACGTGAAGTGAAGACAGAGCCAGGAGAAATCATGTCCTCCAGCAGGGCTGGTAGGCTTTGGGGGTAGGGGTGCAGCGGCATCCTACGTAGTAGCAGAAAGCCGAGATGCACTTCATACCATGCTTCTATGAAGAAATGGGAAGAGATGTGTATGAGGAAAATGTTCTATCCCCAAATAAAAACAGAGCACAGTTCATGGAATCTGAATGCATACAAGTTTATGGCATTGAAGAATTTCAATTCTCTGCTTTCATAACGGAAAAAAAAAAATCTCAAGTCTTTGTGAATGAGTTTCACATTAACCGGTAGTTTATTTGCTTAAAACCTAAACATTGTCAGTTTGAGAAGAAATCCACTGTGATATATCAATCTTGCCATTTAAATTTTAAGTTGTTTTTTTTTTACCCTTGGTAAAAATTTATCCAGGAAACAGGATACATATATACTTTAAAACATGAACCATTAGAGAATAAAATAGGAAATTAAGCGTGATTTAAGTTTTGGCGGTCCTTGTTTTTTCTTTTCTCTTTTTTTTAAAATTCCTTAAAGATTATAGAATAAAAAGATCACTGGCTCTGAATCTCTTTGAGATAACAAATGATGAAATGAAAAAAAACAAAAACCCACACTCTCAAACAAGGTCAGGTAATTCACTACCTGCCCTGCCCCCAAAGAAAGAAATAAACTTGTATTAGATGACAACTTATTTTTTTAAAAGTCCAAGTAGAGAAAGAAGCAATCCTTTTTAACTAAAACCCTTCTATGTTTTTTTGATTACTGCTCAACTTGCTACTGTTTAGCAAAAAGCAACATTTCCATAGTGTTCATCTCAAATCTTATTGCTTTACAACTGTGGTATACCATCCTTTAAAAATAAAAAGATGAAGCAGTCAATCCAGTGATTAATTTGACACGGCTTTCATTGAAGGGAGGGAAGAGAGGGCGGTGGCAAAGAAAAGACCAATCGACAAAAAGGTAAATTAAACATACATAGGTTTTCTTAATAAAAAAAAATAATTAAAAAAAAGAGAGAGAAAATGTTATTTTCAACAAAAGGAAAAAAAAGCACTGAAAGCCCACGAGTCAAAGCCATAGCCAAAACCATGTTCTATCTTATGTAGGTTTTCTTTTTTTGCCCCCCTTTTTTCTTTTTTTCCATTTTTTTTCCTTTTTTTTTTAAATAAAATCTCTGCCAAACCATCATCACTTTTAATCCTCCCCAGATGGGGCGTCATCTTCAGACCCCTCATCCCCAGACTTCTCAGGGGCAGGGCTGGCAGAGGCTTTCTTCTCTGGAGGGCTCTCGGGCTCCTCATCTTCTTTGGGAGAAGGAGTCTTTTCCTTTGATACCTTTGACGCTGTGGGGCGACCCACTTTCCCTTTGCCTTTCACAGGACTTGGCGTCACTGAGAAGAAAAACAACAATTTGGGGAAGGGAAGAGAAGAAAATGTCTTTAGTAAAAATCAGCTAAAAAGTCTACAAGAATAAAATCCCTAAGACAACACTCCCAACCTACTGACTCCCAATCACTTTACCTGCACCGTAATGCTGTTAGCTGTCATGCTTATAACCAAGAAACAGGATGCTACGGGGACTGTCACCAGCCTTCGCGGCCTGGGACACTAAATGGTGTTTTTGTGTAAAAAGTGGGGTAAGAAGCAGAAGACTATGATATGACAACCTGAGCAGAAACTGAAGCCATCAAATAACTTTGACAGTTCCAGGAATCCCAACAGTGAGAAGTGGTGAATAGAAGGTTTAACAAGCACCAGCTCCATTTGTCAGGATAAAAACGCAAATCTAGCCGCCGGAGTGGCTCCGCTGGTCAAACGCCATGCTGTGCACCAAAGGGCTGTGGGTTCCACTCCTGGGGGCACGTGCCTGGGGTGTGGGTTGGACCCCTGGTCATGTAGCGGGCGGAAGGCAACTGATTGATGTTTCTCTCTCACATCGATGTTTGTGTCTCTCTCTTGCCCTTCCTCCTTCCTCTAAGCATGCCCTTGGGTGATGATTAAAAAAATAAAATAAAAATAAAAATAAAAAACCCTCATATTCATATTCTCAACAAAATGTTTGGTTTTTTTATTATTTATTTATTTTTTTAAATATACCTTTATTGATTTCAGAGAGAGGGAGAGAGAGCAAGAAACATCAATGATGAGTCATTGATCGAGCCTGCAACGGGGGCATGTGCCCTGACTGGGAATCGAACCCGTCTCCTGGATCGTAGGCCGATGCTCAACCGATGAGCCACACCCAGCTGGGCATGTGTGTATTTGTTTTTTTGTTTATTTATTTTTAAAAATATATCTTTATTGATTTCAGAGAGAGGAAAGAAGAGGGAGAGAGATAGAAACATCAATGATGAGAGAGTCACTCATCAGCTGCCTCCTACATGCCCCGACTGGGGATCGAGTCCGCAACCCGGTCATGTGCCCTGACTGGGAATAGAACCTCAATCGCCTGGATCCTAGGTCGACGCTCAACCGCTGAGCCACGCCTGGCCGGGCTGTTGTATTTTTTTAAAAAGCAAATCTAGCTTTCCGGTTTAATGACAAACTAGCTCTGATTAGGAGTATCTGCCAGAAACCACAATGCCTCAGGAAAAATAAATGCACGTGGTCAAGAGTGTTTTTATTCCACGAGCAGAGAGTGGTGAGGGGATTAGAACGCAGGACTTAAATGGAACACTGTAGGTGTCATTTCATTCTGCAGCTCACCTGTAGCCTTTAGCCTTGGTTTGGGCATTTTCTTTTCTTTTCTCTCGGGTTTGGGCTTCTTAACCATCTTTTTATTTTTCTTTTTAGAACTGCCGTAGTCACTATCATCATCGTCTTCCATTAGAAAGTCTTCATCGCTGCCGGAATCTTCTGAGAGGAAAGAAGAATTTCAACGTCCAACTTAATGTACACATCCTTCCAAGTGAACAAAGGGAGAGAGCGCTAAGAATGACTGGACGATGGGATCTGTGAGTCAAACACTCTTGGCTTCTATTTGCAGATATACTACCAGTTTGGTCGGAGTGCTCACTGGCCCCACCTGTAAAATGGGTTTAGCACGCACATGAGGTTACATGACTGACTCGTTTGAAGAGTAGAATGAAAACAGGAAGGGATAAAATTTAATCTGAATAAAAATTGAAGCCATCAAGTAACTTTTGGTAGTTATATCATCCCATACAGTACTGGTGAGACCAGGAAAACGAAACTGAATCGACTTGGTGTGCTTGGTCCAACTACCAATGATGAAACAAGAAAACTACATACAAAGCAATCATACATGTAACTAATTAATCTGAGTAATCTGTGAAACATCTGAATTCTGTTATTAACACTTTTTGTCAGGGGAGGAGGTCTATACCCTTCTCCACAGGCCAAAATACAAATCTTAATCACAACGCCTGCCATGCAGCTGTTATTCTGACAATTGTTTAAGTATTGGAGTACAAATGATGGCCAGCCCGGGTGTGACAATCTCTGAACCTATTACAATACGAACAGATGTCGAGGCGGCCATTCCTCCTCACGGTGAGTCCGTGAGGGGCTGTCTGTAGCACCCAGCACCCCCGACACGCCCCAGGGACCCGGGCGGCCGCCGCCTCACGTACTCTCCGGGAAGGGCGCCTCGTCCTCCTCCTCGGGCTCCTCCTCGCTGCCCGCATCCTCCAGGAGCATCTCTCTCTGCTTCGAAGCTGCTTTAGAGGCTGCCTGCCGTTGCTGGCGCACATTTTTATGATCTTCTTTTTCATCTTCACTGTCCTCTGCAATATCAAAGTTAGGGTGCACTGATCTAAGAGTTGTGTGTATTTGACAACCACCTAGAAAAGCCACTGCAGTGGCCATGCTTCATTTCATTCAAAAAGGATAAGTCTATCTTTAAAAATTCCTACAAAAGAGCTAAAATTCAAAAACTGAACTTGAATAAGATTATGTACCTCACTATTACATGTAAAATAACTTACACATGTAGTTTTAAGTAAAAATAAAGCTGAATTTAGGTTTAAACACATGCTTCCTATAGCATACTTTAAACTTACATAATTGTTTTGCCCTAAAATCCTCCATTACATTCAAATCTATGTTCACAGTTTTTAGAAACTAAAGTTAAATATTTTTAAATGGAAAAGGGGAAGGCTGTCTTCCAATCATATTTATTGTGAGATACAAAACAAAACACGTAGGCCCAAAAATAATGCCAAACTACTATCCTTTTGAATGAGTGAGGTGTGGCCATCTTTAAAACACATATTAGACCAATTAGATCTTAACACAAGTTTATTTAAAAAACTGCTTTCAGCCCTGGCCAGAATGCTCAGTTGCTTAGAGTATCGTCCTGATACACCAAGGTTTCGGGTTCAGTTTTGGTCAGAGCACATACAAGGATCTACCAATGAATGCATAAATAAGTGAAACAATAAATCAATGTTCCCCCCTCCCCCTCCCTCTCCCTCCCTTCTTCCTCTAAAATCAATCAAAAAATATTTTAAACTGCTTTCACATATATAGGCAATTTTTGAAAATTTCAACACATAGTTGTGTCTGTGACTAAATCCAGTTAAAGGGCAGGCTGCCAGCCTACTGGCTCTAGATCAAGGTATATTTCTATTAGTCTCTACCTACAACCCTTTTCCTAGACTTTGAGACTCCCTTATTCTGTTAAGGTTAAGCTGTTACCCTTCTGGAAACACTCATAGTCCTTTTAGCCTTGCCTTGGTCAGTGTTCAAGTTATCACTTTCACTGCCAAAAACTTCATCTAGAGACAAAGAGACACAGGGAACAAAGCTGACTTTGGTAAACTCAAAACTAAACCCACCTGGAAGGAGCTATGCTTAACACTAATACAAAGTTATTCATCTTCAAGTGCTCAGTAAATTAATAAATGGAAGAGATTCAAATTAAGGTATACAAGGCAGATGAATAAAAGTGCCCATTATATTACCATAACATCACTAGACTGTAATATCATTACAGTTAATATCATCTCTTCTCAACTTAGGCAGTCAGATGGCACACTTGAAAAGTATTAAAGCAAAACAGCTCAGTGGAGTGAATTCAGTGGAACTTTGTCTACCCTCACAGCAGTATCATTTAAAGGGAGGTCCAGGAAGGCAAATGTAGGGGACTACAGGTCAAAACTAAAGTGGTTTGGAAAAATGTGGAATAAACTCTTAATTCTGAGATGGGTTATATTAAAAAAATAAACAAACAAAAAAACTAACAACAATAAGTAATCAAGATTTAATATTTTATTCGGCCATTGAGTGTTCTCATCAATTCTTTTTTTTTTAAACATATCTTTATTGATTTCAGAGAGAGAGATAGAAACATCAATGATGAGAGAGTCACTGATCGGCTGCCTAGCCTGCAACCCGGGCATGTGCCCTGACCGGGAATTGAACCCCAATCTCCTGGATCCTAGGTCGATGCTCAACCACTGAGCCACGCCCGGCCGGGCCCATCAATTCTTTTAAGTTAAAATTCTTACAGAAAAGACTTTCCTTGTGTCTACTGTTTCAAAGGATAACTAACCTTTATTTGCATTTCAACCGAGAGTTATTCACTCCCCCTTTCTATGCCTCTATTTCGCTTAGTATTATACGTTACTCTACTGAGTGTGATGTCTTTTATTCATATAAATGATTTTCAATCTTGACTATGCATGAGAATAACCTATAAACACTTTTTAAAAAACAAACCCCTAATATCCCACCTAGATCTATTTCAGAAATACTGAGGTGGGAAGGAGCAAAAGTATGTTAAAAACAACAACAACAAACTGCCCTGGCGGTGTGGCTCATTTGGTTGGGCGTCATCTGGTGCACTGAACGGTTGCCAGTTTGATTCCTAGTCAGGGCACATGCCCGGGTTGCGAGCTCCATCCCCAGTGTGGAGTGTGCAGGAGGCAGCCAATCAATGTTTCACTCTCACACCGATGTTTCTCTCTCTCCCTCTCCCTCCCTCTCTTTCTAAAAATGAATTAAAAAAATATTAAAAACAAGAAAACCTTCACAAATGAATGTAGTAAGCCACCAGGATTGAAAATCACTATGAGCTCTACAAAGACAGAAACATCTTTGTAATGCCAGTATTTATAACAGTGCCAGGCATTACTATAAAACCACTTACTAAAATGTCCACTAAATAAGTGCACAAGAGAAATATTGTTTATTACCTGCTGAGTGAGAATCATCCTTCTTGGTCTTCACATCTTTTTCTTCTGAGTCTTCACTGTAAGGGGAAGGAATAAAAAAATTTACGTTATTAGATCAAAATCTAAGTGAATGTAGATCTCTGATACCTGACTGAAGAATACTAAAGAAAACCTCCTATATATATGAAATTTAAACAATGCTGAGGAGTGAAGTTGTTTCCATTATTTACCTACTTTACAGGGATGCTGGTGAATAAGCACAATTTTTATCTACTTTTGGAAAATAGTGTTTCCAAAAACTCAAAGGGAAAAAAGGCAGCATCTCAACACAGGCTGAAAATTTCTCACCTACAGAAAAGGCCTAGTTCACAAAAACATTTAATAAAAAAAATTCTTTGTTGTTAGAGGCAGAATATAAAAATACAATTATAAGATGTGCCAATGGTGGTAAAGTAGGCAAATAAATGGACAGCACCAAATACAGGTGCAAAAAACCACTAAATATAATTATTAAAGAAAATTGGAATTCAGTTATATAAATTACAATATGCCTAAATATTTATCTAAAACAAAATAAAAATATTAACTAAGTATTTTTTGCCTCCAATATTTCTATACATCAGAAACATGAGCACACAGACCTGCCTTGTATCCTAGAGAAAATAAAAATCAGCTCAATATCACTGCAAAATAAAATAAGGAATTTCAAAGTTCAATGAGCCCTGGCCAGGTGGCTCCGTTGGTTAGACGTTGTCCTGTATACCAAAAGGTTGTGGGTTTGATCCTGGTTGGGGCACAGACAGGAAGCAACTGATCTATGTACCTCACTGTTTCTCTCATATCAACGTTTCGTGCTCTCTCTCTCTCCCCCTCCTCTCTCTCAAATCAATAAAAACATATCCTCGGATGAGTATTAAAAAAAAAAGTTCAATGAAAAGGTTTATAAAACAATGTTTTTTAAAGTCACAAAGACATACATTTTATCTCCTCACAAATTTTAACTCAGGAATCTGGGTTCCAGTGTCCTGTCCTTGTCATTAATTTGTTTTATGATCTTAGGAAAATCACTTGGTACTCTTCTGTGCTAAAATTTTATGATTCCGTGAGAAATTCTGACAAACAAACAAAAAAACCCAGTCATACATAAAAACTATCTTCATAGCTTTCCTTTCTTAAACAGAAGGTCTTGTAAATCTCTTTTGCTATTTCCCATAATCTAGACCACACTCAAATGACAAACTACTGAACCCAAGATTCCTAAGCAAAGAAAAAAACAAACAATTCTTTACTAAGCAATCTAACCCAAGAAACACTGTAATTCTGAAATCTGTGACTGTTCTACAGAAGTGTTTTTATGCAAAATAAGCATTTAAGTCACAAGTGTATGACAATGATGAAGAATTATATCATTTTTCTCTAGTTCTTTTATTATTGAGTTTGTAGAAACCATTAATCCTTGAGTCCCATTACAGCAAAGCCAAGTAAAAGCTAAACTTTAAGTAGAGACCAATGGAAAAATCAACATAATACGGTCTGAGGGAATAAACATACAAGTAGTACAAATGGCAATAAAAGCTGTATTTATTTCAACCACTCTGACACTCTGGAGACAATACTAAAACCAAATGACTAACGAGGACAATATTAGGCTAGATTTAATTACATCAAGGAGACATTGTAATAGGCTACAAAAAAAGCTCATTCCTAGGAGAAATATAATTAATATTAAATGATAATTCTAAGCTGGGCTGCTATATAAAAACCAAATTAGAGATATATACTATGAAACTATGGAAGATTTGCTCCTCCACAGTATAATTCTTATTTTTCCTCAAAATCACATCTCTGAAATTCTCCAGAAAAGAAAATATTAGATGTTAGCAATATAAGCAAACATAAATTACTACGTAAATGTATGTATTTAGTATTGTTATTTCTGCAAATTTAGCATCCTGTAAATTCAGAATGAAAGGACTTCTGCCTGTAGCTTTATTGTAATGACTTTAGTGTTTGACGGTAAATATCTTTGAAGAACTAGTAAGAAATATTATTTCATGTCTTTGAACTGCTCATGCTTAATAGTATTGTTGGGAAGTGGTATAGCCCAATAACCATGGTTTCAAAACCTGTTGGTCCATTTGCCAGGTAACCTTGGACAAATCACAGAACTCCTTTAAGTTAATATTGCTCTCTCTAATAGAGGTGTTGTGAAAATAAGAAATATAAATTAGCACATAATAGAGACCAGCATATAACAATCATAAATGGTAGTACTATCATTGCCATCATCAAGGAGATCTTGCCACATTGAATATGAGAATGTATGTGCCTACCTGTAAGAACAGAGGAGAAAGCTACAATATACTGGTCTCATGTGGCAACTTTAGTTAAAATTACAACTCATCTGAACTCTTTATAAAACTAAGGGAAGGGAAACTGCTCCAAATGAGTAAGTTATCTAAACAAAGGAGAACTGATTATAGGAGATAAAACTAGGCAGACTATACACGTAAAATTCTATAAGCTTTAGTTATCATTCTACAAGTGATTTGTGACTGAATGTGAAAGGTCACTCATACTTTGCAATTACTACAATGAGAATGTCAATACTAACCTCAGGTAACAAACTGCATACTTAAACAACCTTTTGGCTACATTCAGAGGTTTGAGGTAGCAACAAAGGCACTCTCGGAGATCACCGTGGACTCCAGGTTGAGTCCAAGGAAGCCTCATGACCTTTACGAGGCCAAAGTCTAGACTCAGACAGCCTGCCCAAGTTAGGATGAAATATGCAAAAACGACTTTAACTGAACCACAAGAGCCTTCGCAAAAGAAATGAAGATTCTAACTTGGAGATCAGAAATTACCCTCATCTCAGAGTGGTTGACAGTGGCAGCAGGAACAAATTAACAATGCCTCTCACCTATCTTCCTGTGAATTCTTTCCAGATCGCCTCTTATTTTTAGCTTCTCGTGGAGATGATCGAATTTTCTTAGCTGGAGGGCCCGAATCTCTTCCGTAATCTTCATCTACACAACATTTTTCAAAAATCAATAAACTATATCATGAATTGTACATGTAGAAATTACCACTGGATTTTCTGAGATAATTATGTCTCATGCTATTTAAATGATGAGGAACAGGATTTTCCAAATAATTTTTTTTCATTAAAAAAAGTAAATTCTCCTTTTCCAGTCCTGCTACCTTAACGTAATCATTTCCACTTCTGCATATTAACCTCTAGTCCTCATGTGTATATTTTAACATATTCACAGCCAAATATCTCTTATCATTTTATATCCTACCCTTTTAATTTATTACAGATTTTCCCATGGTTCCACATCTTCATATTTATTTTAAAACTATTATAGTAATATGGGCATATGCATTTTTAGAATGTAAAATTCTACAATCCTAATACAATTTCTGTTATCAAGTAAATTACCTTTAAAGTATTAAGTATGGTATACTCTGGCACTTAAGAAAAATATTTCCAATTTCTTTCTTTTTTAAGAATTGATTTGAGAGAGGAGGAAAGGGAGAGGAGAAACATCAGTTTGTTGTTCCACTTATTTATGCATGCAAAATAACTCCAATTTCAAAAGCCCTATTAAACTGAAGAAAATTACCCCACCTTAAAAGGTGATTTTTTCCAAAACTGTTTACTACACAATTATACATGAAGCTTCAGCAATTATTAAATGGTCGGATCATTATAAATTCCATTATTGAATATCGTACAACCATTAAAAGGAATTTTTCAAATAACTTCTAAATAACATGAGAAAGATACTCATAAGTAGGGGTGGGGTGGGAGAAGGACAGAACCCAAAAATCCTACAAGACTTCAACTAGATTTTTAAAAGGGGGGGAAAAAACTCAAAAACTTTTTCAACAAAATGTTGAAAATGACCATTTTCTGGCTAAGAAATCTTGAGTAATATCTTTGCTTCAGTTTCTTTATCTGCAAAATGGAAATAATAATACACATCCTATTTTAACAGGATTGTTCTGAGGATTACATTTAGCAAGCATTTAATAAATGTTAGTATTCCCTCTGGGAGGTTGGATTATGTGCTTTGTTTTGTTTTTACTCTTATATATTTCTACATTTTCTAAGTTTTCCCAAAGTGCACATATTATCTTTATAAAATAAAATTAGATTAAAAAAAGGAAAAAGTAGTAAATGCATCTGGAAAATGAGATTAAAAACATCATATTCTAAAAAAAACCAGTTATGGCTAAGATTTAAGATACACTACTCATTCTATGAGTCAGTTCACAAATCGAAGTTGTTTCACAAACACTGTCATCTTAGTTACTTTATTACGCAAAAAATTAAAATACTCCCTATTAAAAGGTACAAGTTTAAACCATGATTATAGGAGTAGATATATTAACTAATAAACACTGCATCAGAATTATTGCACATGTAAACTCTGGTCTCCAAAACCAAGTAAGGAAAAAATTATTCAAATGTTTGTATCAATGATTTACTAAGGAAAAGTTAAAATCCATGCAAGTTCAACATTTGTTTTGGGTGACACAGACCTTGATGTAATTTACATACATAAAATTAAAAATAAAACTTATTCCAAAGCATTATAAAAAATAAATAAGCTGGAGATTCTTCCACTAGTAGGGTCCAATTTATAATCTATTGAAATCACAAAACTTACCAGCATCATCAGATTCTTGAAACTGTGAATAATCGACAACCTTCCTATTTCTGTAGAAAGAAAAGATTCTAATTAAGATCATAAAAATGTGATTTCTAAGATGTTACAACACACATTTCTTTCTCATAAACAGAATTAGAACAAAAGCGTGGTGAAGGCCTGGGGGGGTGGGGCAGATTCAGGGTGGAGAGGGTAACTGAGGGGGGAAAAGGGACATCAGTAATACTTTCAATGATAAAGATAAATTTTTAAAAAATAGGTTTACAGTTCTGAGTATGGGAAAGGTTGTTCTTGTATTATTTATTATTATTGTATTATTTGCCATACAAACGACTGTAAACCTACTTTTGTCCCACCCTGTATAAAAGCTTCCACGTAAGTATCCAGATAGCCTGGCTTTCAAAAGAGCCTTAGATGGGAAGTAACAAAATGATACTGAACAAGTGAACTGAAAGGATTAAGAGAAACAAGCCACCAATTCTACTTAAACCTGAGCAGAAGGATATTCCTGGTTTTATAATAAAGATAAAAACATCACTTAAATTCAAAGATAGTAAGGCCAGAATTCAAGCACAAATACCACTTCTATACAACATACAAAAATGATAGGTGTACGAATGAATTCTGAGAACGTATTTAGAGCAATGTTGAAGAGGGTATAGACACACCCTTGGCTGTAGAGAGAAAAGGCTCTTAAGGAATTTTGCCTTCTGTTTTTCTTTAGTCTACCAACAATAAATTATCTTCTCAATTTATTGCCTCAATGAGTCAAGATGCAAGATTTAAAAATATGCTCCAGTCCGGCCGAGCGTGGCTCACTGGTTGAGCATCGATCTAGGATCCCAGTCAGGGCACATGCCCGGGTTACGGGCTCGATCCCTGGTTGGAGGCCTGCAGGAGGCAGCCGATCAGTGACTCTCTCATCACTGATGTTTCTCTCTCTCTCTCTCTCTGAAATAAAGATATATGTAAAAATAAATAAAGTAAAATAAAAATATGCTCCAATTACAGTTGAATCTTGAACAACATGTGTTTGAAATGCATGGGTCCACTTATAACATTTTTTTCATCTTGTAAACAGATGATATAAACTTAGAGCACCAATATAGTACAGTACTGTAAATGTATTTTCTCCTCCTATTTTCTTAATAACATTTTTCTCTAGCTTACTTTATTGCATTAATACAGTATTATAATACATGTAACATACAAATGTGTTAATCAGCTGCTTATTCTATTGGTAAGGGTTCCGGTCAACAGCAGGCTATTAGTAGTTCAGCTTTGTTATAAGCTGAGTTTATATATCAAAGATACCATCATTCTATTAGAAAAGTTAATTTAAAAAATATGACAGTTAAGTTCACTCATATGCTGTATCTAGAGTAGTCAAATTCATAGAAAGTAGAATGGTGGATGCCAGGAGTTGGGGTAGGGAGGAATGGGGAGTTAATGGCATGCATAGTTTTAATTTTGCAAAAGGAGAGTTCTGGAGGTTGGGTGCAAAACAATGTGAATTTATTTAACATTACTGAACTGTACACTTAAAAATGATTAGGATGGTAAATGTTATTTTAAAACAAAAAATAACTTTTTTCTTTCTAAAAACAAACTATTGGAAGGAGGGGGGCTGGTAATCAAATGCCTTCCACATTCAAACAAAATAGTGATTTGATTTTAAAATAATTTTTAAAATGTTTTTACTGATTTTTAGACAGAGAGGAGAGGGGGAGAGAGAGAGAGAGAGAGAGAGGGAGAGAGAGAGAGAAACATCGATAAGAGGGAAACACTAATAGGCTGCCTCCTGCATGCCCCCTCTACTGGGGATCGAGCCTGCAATCTGGGGATGTGCCCTGACTAGGAATCAAACCAGTGACTTTTTGGCTCATGGGTTGACCCTCAACCACGGAGCCACACGGGCCTGGCAAATAGTGATTTTAAATGATACTTGCCATGAGAAACAGTATTATGATAATAATGCAAGATGACCATTTTCTGCATTATTTAGGATCAAGGACTACGGGATATGGAACCAGGGAAAGGAAAGTATCCAGAAGAGGGAACTTTAAATCTTAATCACTAATAATTAATGAACAGTTTCTGAAATTGCAGGCATAATTATTCCAGTTTATCCATGCTGGTGGGATCCTAACTCAAATATCGGTACAATTTCTGGGTACCATAAATCAATAAATATGTCCCATGAGACTATATAAAGGATGCAAACTAGAATGGTGAAGAACAACGGAATAAATTAGATTTTAAACTTGAATAAGGGAAAACATGCTAGCTACTTTAGGGATTTGAAATGATAGTAGTAGTAAACTTTGGTTATCCGATTAAGTGTGGATTCAACATAAATAACTTTCTAACAGTTTGAGAGTGATAGTTTCTTAGTGTATCACTGGGGAACACTCCAGAAAGGAATTATATAGTAATAAGTAGAGAATCTTTGTTAGTAAGAATCCTGGGTCCTGGTTCTAGAACTTTAAGCAAATCACTCAATTTCTCTGGGCCTCAGATCCTTCTCTGTTGAAATTAACGACCTAAGTTGCTGCCAGATCTAAGATGCTATTCTAGAAATTAAACATTATTAAAGTTTAATGAAAAAGATGTCTTTTTTTTTAATTGTAAATGGTCAACTATTTTGCATGCAACATATCTTAACACACATCGCTGTACCACTTTTTTCATCACTAATCTGAGCTTCCTGAAGGTAACAACCATATCTTATACCCACATTTCTGGTACACAGCAAGTAAAAAGTAGGCACTCAAATGTTTTCTGAACTTTTTGCTCTTAGGGCCAAATTTAAGAGATTTGCTAGAAACCTAATTTTATAAGCTATGTTAGAGGATAAATCCCATCTTCTTAAAGTCTTATCTCTTGCCAGTTAACAATCAAACAACCCAGGAACTTTGTAATTCATCCAATCATGTTGTTTCTTATTGTTATGCTGCTCCTTGGCCTAGAATGCTGTTCATATTACTCCCACTCATAATAGATTCCACCTCACTTCAACACCTTTAATCCTTTGATACTATATAATCTACTAAATGTCTGTCTTCTCTATTAAATGTGAACTTCTTGAGGACAGGGGTGTCTCTCCTTCACTTGGAACACCAAAGTCAAGAGATGCATTTGATGAGTGAATGGACTTGGCATCTGCAAAGGATTAGGGTAGAAAGGGTATCAGCAGAGAGGATGTATGTGCCACTGGAGTTTTCACCCTATCAGACATTTAATTACCACTGCCCTTAATGAGGAAAGAAAATCTTGTTTCTTCCATATGAAAGAATTTGTTACTTTAGCCCGGCTGGGCGTGGCTCAGCGGCTGAGCATCAGCCTAGGATCCAGAAGATCACAGTTTGATTCCCGGTCAGGGTATGTGCCTGGGTTGCAGGCTGGATCCCCAGATGGGGCATGCAGGAGGCAGCCAATCAATGACGACTCTCTCGTCACTGATGTTTCTACCTCTCTCTCTCTCTCCCTTCTCTCTGAAATCAATAAAGGCATATAAAAAAAATTAAAATTAAAAAAAAAACTTGTTACTTTAAATCTAAGAAATTTTAAAAGGCAACTATTTAGTATATATTTTTCTATCCTAGTTTTCAACAAGAACTATAAAAATGCCACATAGACTATACTGACATATACACAAATTTAAATTTCTCAAAATCAAATTAGAACACCATTCCTTCCTTTGAAACACTAAATATTTTAACTTTCAAAGATGTAAAAATGGCCAGAATTATCTTACATTTATCACAAAAACTCTAAAACCTGAGTAAAGCAAAATATGAATATAGAGGCAACCTTGTTTCACGAGTAGTAAAAAAATGTATCCACCCATAACTTAAAAAATTTGTGATAACAAGGTTCATTCACATAAGTCATTACGTATAATGATTTATATTAATAGTTTGGTTCATTTCCTGCCCTCTAAGGCTGTTATTCCAAACAACATACTATTTCCACTACTTTGAGATTTACCTTATTTAGTGTTGAAACGTATTTCTGATGAACTTATTCCTATGTAAACTGGAAACAGACAAGATATACTGGGAAAGAAGCAAAATCCTTAAGAGAAAATATTTAAGTCTAAGGGCATAGAAAGTTTTACTTCTATAGCTGAAAACAAAGAAACATTCCTACTTCCTTAAAATACCACAAATTAAATGCCAAAGCTAAGCCAACTCTTCAGTAAAATGAGCATCAACAACTAGAACTGGGAGAACAAAACAAGATTTCAATATAGAATAAAGGTTAAAAATACAGATTTTTGAACTGGGCTTAAATCCTGACTCTGCCACTTACTAGTTAGTTCTATGTCCTTGAGCAATTTACCTCCCCTCACTGAATTTCAGTTTTCTCACCTGTAAAATAGAAATAACAATACCTATCTCTCAAGATTGTTGTGAGTGCCAGGTACACAACTACCCAATAAATAGCAGCTATTATTACTTGTAAGCACTAACTTGTTCTACCCAGAATATCACTGCAATCTTGAACTCTTGTAAGTAACACTCTTAATTATCTGAACATAAGTCACAATGTTTTAAACCATGGTTCTGGTACCATTTAGAGACTGTCTTAAAGGGTCTGTGGGTCATTTCACTAAAATGCAATACCAGCCCTGCTTGGTGTGCTCAGTGGTTAGAGCATTGGCCAGCACCCCGAGGGGTCTCATGCCTGGGTTGTGGGTTTGACCTCCAGCCCCGGTCAAGGCACCTTCGGGAGGCAACGATCGGTATGTCTCTCTCACATCAATGTTTCTCTCTCTCCCTTCCACTCTAAGAATCAATGGAAAAAGTATTCTCGGGTAAAAAGCAATACTAAAATGCCCTGTTGTTATATTATTATTTCCAACTTTATGGTAAAGTTTTCAAGTAACCACTAAGGCCAGAAAAAGTAGCAGTAGTAGCTATTTTAAAGCCACTATACAAGTTAGATAGATTTCTATCACTCATATCAACTGGAGTTCCATCTAAACAAGTCTAAAAGTTTGCACTAGAGAACAGAATTGTAACCCTGTAAGGAAAATAAATGTTTAAATACAAAATATAGGAACACTAAAATGTCAATTATGTGCCTACTCTTACTTTAAAAGCTGATATAATCTATTTAGATTCTAAGTGCACTTTGGTCACAATGAAACAACTCCTAGATGATCACCAGAGGACTGAGATGAGAAGGCCCAACTTTTATATGAGTCTAAGATGCAAAAAAGAAAGGTAAAGGTGGAAGCAGAACACTAAA